TGTCTAGATGTGACGACCTCTGCCCCACATAAATATGAGTTTAGCAATGGGCTTACTTTCTCTCTCTAAATACATAAATAAATTTAAAGCTATCATCGTCACGGTTTTGGTTGCAATACTTTATGTGAGGCTCAGACTCATGGCTGCAACCCTGCAACATGGCTGCAATCCTGCATCAGTCCAAAAATAAGACACCAATGCTTGATTGGTTGGTCTCTCTCTATCACATAATAGTAGGGATAGTTTGAATTTTGAAAACTGGGAAGGTTTGAATTTTGAAAAGTACATGGCATTAAAAAAAAAAAAATATAGGGAGAGAGGTGGTTCTATATGGATAGGAAGATTAGTCCCACATTGATGATAATACATACAATGAGCTTTTTTTAGAGGGAGAGATTGGCAACTTGAAGATTCTTTGAGGGGCTCAATGGTTATGCAAAACCGAGATGCATTTTTATAGTTATTTTTTATTTAAAATTATATTTTACGAGATTTTACAGTATTCAATAAAACAGATTTTACGAGATTTTACAGTATTCAATAAAACAGATGATAAAACCACTAACGAATTACATACTCTATAATAGTCCATGCATGCACCCATATATTCATTTTTATGTAGTGTAATATTTACGTGCTATAATAATTACCATATTTGTCATATACACTCAATTTATATTTAAATTTTGTAGTGATATTACATAATAAGAAATAGATCATAACTCTAAAAATCACTCCTATCTTATTTGCTGTATGAATTAGTGTTCAACACATATTCAAAAATTTTTATTGACTATGTAATAATAGAAAATGGGTCGTAACCCTAGAACTATTCAATTCGTAAGAGTTCTTTGTACAAAAACATGAATGTAGATATTCACGTTCCCATGCTCATTTGAGAGTGATGGAAAAGGCTTATCAGCATATGCAATATAAACAGTCTCAAAATTCAGAAACTAATATTTCACAAGACGTTTCTACACCAATGACAAATATTATTCTTTCATCATCAAACCAATTCTTCAATGACAATAATTTTTTCCACTTAGAGAGAAGAGATCCTCATGTAATATTGACAATGACAATGACAATGATACAAACTCAAAATCATTGTCGTTCTATACAAATTTTCCTCACATATTTTTTGGAGAAAAAAATTATAAATTTTTCTTACTTTTTCTTTTTAATTATAACTACTTCTCCTTATTATTGTAGTTAAAAATTTCTTATTATCTAAGGAATGACTCATGATTAATCAAAATTTTGATTAATAGATCTTTCTGATCATTGAATATTTAGTTAATATGTTAAAGTAATTACATACATGCAGCACATGTAATTCAAATAGTATATTATAAAAAGAAAGGGGAAAGGTTTCGATACTTCCCCTACAACATAGAAGATCTATGCTTTCCTTAACATCCAGCCGTCCAATTTTGATCAAGAGAGCCATTCACTGTTTGATTTTAGATCCGACGTCTCAAAGTATTTTATTTTTAGTTTTTTTTAAACAAATTGTATGAATATGAAATTTGGTACATGCTATCTTCTCATTAGGGCGCACCTATAAAAAATATTAAAAATAATTTTTCGATAAAATATAACGATCAAAATACCCCTTAAAAATGTCAGGGGTATTTTGGTTATTTTATTTTATTCGAAATATTTTCTTTTATGTTTTTCACTAGTGCAAGTTTAATAGAGGATTGGACATCCAAAAATTGGTGTCAAAATAGCTTATAGATAAATAATTAAAAATAAAATAGTGTAGATACGTAAGATTGTGATTGGAACAATCTTAACCCTCCATTCAAAATGGACGGTTGGATAAGGAGAAGTATATAAGTTTTATGATGTAGGGGAAGCATAGAAAGCTCCCCCAAAAGAAACATCCGGCTGTTATATTTATTGTGCGCCGTGGTCCACCACAAATAACTTGCTCCTCTTTTATTGCTTTGGAGGGCCGTCGGTTTTCCAAATCCTAATGAACCCTTGGGGCACACGATGTATTTTGTCCCTCATTCAGAACGCTCGAAGAAGATTGAAAATCAATTCTTTTATTTATCTAAAATTATGAAGAAGATTGATTTTATTTATATTTTAAAAGTATTTTAAACGTTTATTTTATATACTAATATATAAGACCAGCATGATCAAAGGATAAAGCTTTTGCGAAACTTTATGAATTGGGGTGTGTTGTGCTCCCACAAAGATATACTATGAGCTTCATGAATACAAAACTACTATTATGCAGAGGTGGCGGTTTTCCAAATCCAGGTGAACCCTTGGGTGCACACTATGTATTCTGTCCCTCCGATAGAGCACTTGAAGAGGTTTGAAAATTACAATTTTGATTTGTCTTAGATATGAAGAAAATTTGTTTTTATTTATATTTTCAAAGATTTATTTTATAAACAGATACATAAATCAGCTGGATCAAAAGATAAACCTTTTGCGAAGCTTTGTGAATTGCAGCGTCTCTGTGCTCCCACAAATATATATTGTGAGCTTGCCACCTCAAAAAATATAAAAATTGACAATATTTTAAAATTTGCAAATGCATTTAGAGCTTATTTTAGAAAGGAAGTTAAATCGTATTCTTTAAAACGAATTTTTACCTAATAGATCATATACAAAATATGCATTGATGGGCATACAAATTTATATATAAATATAAGAAGGGTTCGGTTTGTATAGGCTCTAAACAATCAAATTAGAGCCTACCTTCAAATAGTATCGAGAAATGTGGTTTTAATATTTGAGATCTTTGTGATAGCTTTAAAATATATTTTTATATTTATTTATAAAGTATAAAGCTTCAAAAATAGTGTAGGTCGACAAATCTATCAAAATTTGAAAAGCTTGAAAATCGACGGTTAAAAAATACGTTACAAAATACACTATTTCCAAAATTTGAAATCCATTTTTTTCTCATGACTATGCTTCTTGATGTTGAGATGATCAATTTAAAGATATTTGAACATCAAAACAACCTCTTCTAATAAAATTTTTGAGATAGGTTCAAATTTGATTGTTTAGAGCCTCACCTCTATATAAACTTTTCCCATATAAGAAAGCTCATGCGCATCTAACAAATGAACGGCCGAAGATGTGAAGATCTATTCGGATGACTGGTGTTCTAAGCATGTGGCACGTTATGACTCGTGTTCTCGCACTTTATGACTCGTGTGTCCTGAACATGTGGCACTTATTTATAGAAGACTAGTGTTATACACGTGTGTTGTATGTAATATAAATTGTAATTATCAAAATAAATTTTTTAATGGTGAAATAAAGTTCCAAAAGGCATATCATATTATAGAGAGATAATAGATGGACCATCCTTAAATATGCTATTAAGGTTTTTTATTCTTTTTCCAATTTGGGTTTGGATTTTGAAAATTGGGAAAACGTACAAAAAGAAAATATAAATAAAAGAAAAATATAAATAAAAGAAAAAGGAAAAATGAATAGAGAAAAATGGAGAATAAATTATTTTTTTTGCATTTTAATATTTAGAAATAGAAAATTATGAAAAAAGGAGAAGAAAAGGGAAAGAAATTATTGTTTCTACGACATGTTACATAAACATAAAAAATACTATTATATTTTTATTATGGTAATAATAGTATATAACACATTCGGTGTTAAATATAGAAGTTAAAAGAATAATTTATTTGCTTTATTTGGTATCAATGTTAATTATTAAATAATTATTATTAAACATTATAGTACTTATTAATATGGATTATATTTATGGTAATTAATATAAGTCATAAATATAATTCTTATTAGATGTTATTAGAAATATAAAATATGTTGAATCCACTTATTAAAGGCAAATCCAAAAATTAAAAGTAGAAATATGCTTAGTGCACATTAAAAGTTGAATGTAAAAGAAAAAAGGTAATATGTATTTGTAGCAAATTGTTTGCTATTTTTTGGCCTAAGTTTGGATTTTGGTAATTGGGAAAAATAAATTTAGAAAAATATAGAAATATAGGAAATTTGAGGAAACATAGAAAAGAAATTCTCAGCTTTTTTTAGTATTTACTCAAAAGTTATATAATCTTTTTACTTTTAAAATTATGTTTGCCCATGTACTATATATAATGGAAAAGTTTATATAAGATGTCAACCATGTACCGAAGAAGTAAGGGTTACCTCAAAATCCACTAAAAAATATTGTTTCTACACTGCAAAACCCTTAAAATGATCATCTCAATCTCGAAATATATGGATATGCACTTCCAAAAATAATTCATCTTATAAGGTATTATCTTGACCATCAATTTTCAAGATTTTCAAGTGTTTATAAATCTACTTGATTTCACCTTAATTTGTGCTTTGAAATATGAAGTTTTTATATGGCCTAGGCTTTATGAAAACAAAATAAAGCCTCACCTCCAAATCTCATCCAGAAAGCATTTTTGGTATCGAAATCTTCATGATGGCTCTAAAATTAATTTCCAATACTGATAATGAATACAGATCTTGTGGATCTGTGAACTCTTATTTTTACGGTGAAATGGATGGTCTATATGATTTGTTGCAATATACACTATTTTTAGATTCGAAATCTTACTTTTTTTTCACAATTTAAAATTTTTTCAACACTTAGAATTGCAATTTTTGATGAGTTATGAGATGAAGATTTATTCACTTTAAAACTCATCCAAGATTAGAGTTTTGATGTCAAAAACTTTATCGATCATCTCGGCCTTGACCATTATAATTGTAAAAACAAAAAAGATTTTAAGTCTTATAATTAGTGTCTATTATTACATGTTTTCTCCATTTCGCCCTAAAAATAAGTGTTTATGTATCGATATAATTTTTTTGAGCTTCAAATTTCATAGTTGATATTCATTTTTTATTTTGGAGCACTTTATAAATATTTATCATGCAATGACTCTAGGAGATTTTGTACTTTGTTTTCCTAAAGCCGAGGCCCTATAGAAACGGCTTCAATGTACATCCCCCCCTAAAAAATCTACTGCCAAAAAACCAATGTCACCTTAAAACCTACTTTCTATATAGCCAGAAACCTCTTAAAACCCTTTCTCTGTCTCTCTGCAACTGCTTTTAGGTTTTTTCCATTTTCAAGCTTCAATGGGTTCCTACAACAATAACAGTAACTCCACCAACTTTGATAACCTCCTTCTTCGAACCCTAATGGGCAGGCTTCAGCTTCGCCCCCCTTACCTCAACAATAACTCCTTTCTCTCTCAAAACCTCGACGATTTCTTACTGGAAGCCACAACCGAGGACGATGACGAAAAAACCCCTCTCGCTAAAGAGGAATTGAAGCTGGAGAGAGAAATAGTCAGGCTTATACACATGGGAAACACTGAAACCCTGAAACCCAATTCGAGCCAGGCCGTAACGATCGGAGAACACCATGTCTGTGTTGGTTTCCATGAAGACCCAGGCTCTGAGTATAGGGTGTGGGAGTGGCATGGACACATCATGCTTTTTGATGAGGAAAATGGGTACTCCCCGGAATACATTTATGGGAACTATTTTGAAAGGGCTCCCGTTAAGGAGGAGAAAGAAAGTGATGGAGAGAGTGAGAACGTGGGCCTTCGTGAGTTGATTGGAGATGCTGGTTCTGATGGCGGAAGGATTGTGAGGAGGAATTTGAACGCGGGCTCTAAGAAGTAAGAAGTCAGGCTTTTAAAGGTGCTTTACATTGGGCGAAAAAATGGAGGGGCCATTGTTATGGATTATTGAGCTTCATGCTTTTTGTTTTGATTTTTTTTGGGCTTTGAACTTTATAGTTGTCGCTAAAGAGTTCTTAGTGATGGTTTGTATCTGTTAATAAACAGATATATATATGATCCTTCACGGAATAAATATTTTTTCCGATTTGAAGTCTAAAGAAGTGGCCTTAAATTCCTAAATGTTGTGATGTGTTTCAGGCTTGTATGATTTGGTTCTAGTGAGATTTGTTAGATGGTACTTTATATATACTTATACATGCATAATCTTGCTTCATTTAGGGTTGTTTCAATGATCATGCTTGGTTATGTGTTTCGTGTTAAGCAGAGATCAGTAGCATTACAACTGTGGTGTTCTTGTTCTTTTTCACACAAGGGGTGCTGTCTTTTGTGCTGAATTTTGATGGGCGGAGGAAATTGATAAGGGATTAACTTACTTAGAAAGAATTGTTGGTATGCTATGATTAATTGCTGTAAAAGACACTAAATGATTAAAGAAAATAGAAAAAAATTTGATCTCATTAGTTATGGGTTCGTTTTATATACCATCATTACTGCCTGCTTTTACGTACTTGTAAGAATGGAAGTCAGTATGTAATTTTATTTTGGGTTTATTTTCAATTGATCTGTTAAAAATCGTATGGGTTTGCAATGGGAAGTTTGAACCATTATTGGTTTCTCTGTTTTTTTCTTGCATTGTTGTCACAATTTGTTACGAGGACTCTCCCTTGGATAAAGAAAAAGTGTGTTGTGCTTGAGAGTGAGAGTGTATGATTCTTGCTAGGTGGGCAATCTATGGTGCATAGCTTGTTAAGGCTTTCATTCATTTCTTATCTACTCCTCCCTCCCGGTGTTTTGCATTCATTGCATTTGCATGTTGATCCGGATGCGATTTATAGAAGAGGTCATGGACGATCCTCTATTTCTGATCCTCCTTATATTGAATATATATGATCATTCTCTAACCCATTGCGGTGGTATTCCTTATGCTTCTTGCTAAAAATAGGCACATGGTTCAATTGTGCGTCTCTTCCCTTGTCAGACTGGAACAATTACTTATGTATTTTTTTTTGTGGTTGGTACTGATCTTTTCTTCAAATATTTGCCCTTTCATTCATTTCTTATCTGCTCCTCCCTCCTGGTGTTTTGCATTCATTGATGGTTTAAGATGGTCTCCTTATACAAACCAGACCCATCTATGATTTCAAGCCAAGCTTACAGAATGTAAATAAAAACTAGAAGAATTGATATTTAGAACTGGATCTAGCGAATTATACCTTCGAAGAAAACTACCCATTCCAGAGAGAGGCCGAGAGATATTGATTTATGAAGGAGTTGAGCAGACATACAATTCTTGAGGCAAAGGATAGAAAGAGAGATTTCATGAGAAAGAGAGAGGGATATGAAGTTGTTTTTTGGTGAATGCAGAATTTCGACAATAAAAAAATATTTTCAAGTGAATTTTACAAGTTAAAAAAGGTAGAGAGAGGGTATTTAAATTCAAGCAAAGAAAATCATAGGTTTTCCATGGATCTGAGAGTCTATTTGAACTGCATTATGCAGTTGCATGAAAGGTAATTACCTCATTTTCCAAAAAACAATTCCTCATACATCCAATTGCATCTCCATCCCAAAAAAAAAAGGAGTCAACCATCTTAAGCCAATTCCACCTTACACTCCCTTGATCAGTTTTTGAGGTTAGTAGGGTTATCCCTAGCTAGCTACATAACCAAACCTTATACACAGGAGCAAAAGAATGAGGGCTCCAAACTCCTCCCATCGCCGTCTACTCAATGATGTTAAATCACAAGATCATCACCATCGCTATGGCCATACGGATCACACATTATTTTCCCTAGGTTTAAAAGCCACAAAGAATCAGACAGTTGAAAGCAACCTTCTCATGGTTTTTACAAGCGATGTTTCCTTATTTAATAAAGGATGAGGTTTCTATAGGGCCTAGGGTTTATAAAACCTCACCTCAAATCCTCATCTGGAAAGTACTTTAGGCATCGAAATCTTCATGATGGCTCTAAAATTAATTTCCAATAATGACAATGAAATTTGAAATTAAAAAATGGTACAAACTTGTGGATTTGTGAAGTCTTATTTTTAGGGTGAAATGGATGGTCTAGATTATTTGTTGCAATATACACTATTTTTAGATTTGAAATCTTAGTTTTTTTGCACGATCAGATGATCAATTTAAAAGTTTTTCAACTCTTAGAATTGCGATTTTTGATGAGTTATGAGATGAAGCTTTACTTATTTTGGAAGAGGGCTGTAGCCTATCAAACCATTTTCCTTAAAGTGCAGCCTAGCAAACCATTTTCCTTAAAGAATGTGCATGACCCTGAAAAAAAAAAAAGAAAGTATTTTGCTAGGGCTTCAGTATTATCAAAATAAGTAAAGCCTTACCTTAAAACTCATCTAAAAATTAGAGTTTTGATGTCAAAATATTTTCTGTATCGAGCATCTCGGCCTTGACCATTATAGTTGTTAAAAAAAAGGATTTTAAGTCCTAAAAATAGTCTATATTGTGACATATTTTCTTCATTTCGCCCTAAAAATAGGTATTCACGTAGATATGCATATTTTTTGAGCTTCAAATTTCATATCTGGTTTTGAGTTTTAATTTTGGACAATATTACAGATATTTGTTATGCAATGAATCTTGGAGATTCCATTTCTATACCCAGTGTGCTATTTTTAGACTGATTCGAGGTGAGGCTGTACTTTGTTTTCCTAAAGCCCAGGCCTCACCCCTAAAAAATCTACTGCCAAAAAGCAATGCCACCTTAAAACCTACTACTATATAGAGAGAAACCTCTCATAACCCTTTTCTGTCTCTCTGCAACTGTTTTTGGGTTTTCCCCATTTTTATGCTTCAGTGGGTTCCTACAACAATAACATTCATTCCGCCAACTTTGATAACCTACTTCTTCAAACCCTAATGGATAGGCTTCAGCTTCGCCCCCCTTACCTCAATGATATCTCCTTTCTCTCTCAAAACCTCGATGACTTCTTACTGGAAGCCACAACCGAGGATGATGAAGAAAAAATACCACTTTCTAAAGAGGAATTGAAGCTGGAGAGAGAAATCATCAGGTGTATTGACAGTGGAAACACTGAAACCCTGAATCCCAATTCGGGCCAGGTCGTAACGATTGGAGAACACCATTTCTGTGTCAGTTTCGATGATTACCCAGGCTCTGAGTATAGGGTGTGGGAGTGGCATGGGCATATCATGCTTTTTGATAAGGAAAATGGATATTCCCCAGATTACATTCATGTGAACTATTTTGAAAGGGCTCCGGTTAAGGAGGAGAAAGAAAGTGATGGAGAGAGTGAGAATGTGGGCCTTCGTGAGTTGCTTGGAGATGCGGTTTCTGATGGCGGAAGGATTGTGAGGAGGAAATTGAATGTGGGCTTGAAGAAGTAAGAAGTCAGGCGTTTAAAGCCCCTTTACATTGGGCATAAAAATGGAGAGGCCATTGTTATGGATTCTTGAGCTTCATGCTTTTGTTTTGAGTTTTTTGGGCTTTGAACTTTATAGTTGTCGCGAAAGAGTTCTTAGCGATGGTTTGTATCTGTTTGTATGATCCTTTACAGTTAAATATTTTTTCCTATTTGAAGTCCAAAGAAGTTCCCTTACATTCCTCAATGTTGTGATGTGTTTCAGGTTTGTATGATTTGGTTCTAGTTAGATTTGTTAGATGTTTCCTTATATATACCTATACATACATAATATTGCTTCATTTAGGGTTGTTTCAATGATCATGCTTGGGTATGTGTTTCGTGTTAAGCAGAGATCAGTAGAATTACAACTGTGGTGTTCTTGTTCTTCTCCACGCAAGGGGTGCTTTCTTTTGTGCTTAATTTTGATGGGGGGATGTAATTGATAAGGGATTAACTGATTTAGAAAGAATTGTTGGTATGATATTGATTAATTGCTGTAAAAAACAACAAATGGTTAAATACAATAGAAAAAGATTTGATCTCATTAGTTGTGGGTTTGTTTTATATATCATCATTATTGCCTGCTTTTATGTAATTGTAAGAATGGAAGTCAGTATGTTATTTTATTTTTGGTCTATTTTCTATTAATCTGTTAAAGATCATATGGGTTTGCGAGGGGAAGTTTGAACAATTATTGTTTTCTCTGTTTTCTTCTTGCATAGTTGTCACAATTTGTTATAGAGGATTCTTCCTTGGATATAGAAAAAGTATGTTGTGCTTGAGAGTGAGAGTGTATGTTTCTCACTAGATGGGCAATCTGTGGTGCTCTGATTGTTAAGGCTTGCATTCATTTCTTATCCGCTCCTCCCTCCTGGTGTTTTGCATTCATTGCATTTGCATGTTGACCCAGATGTGATTTATAGGAGAGGTCATGGACAATCCTCTATTAATGATCCTCCTTTTATGAAATATATATATATATATATGATGAATCTAACCCGTCGCTGCGGTGTTTTTGATGCTTCTTGCTAAAAATAGGCGCATCGTTCAGTTGTGCGCCTCTTCCCTTGTCCGACTGGAATGATTGCTTATATGTTTTTTTTGTGGTTGGTACTGATCTTTTCTTCAAATATTTGCCCTGAGATTTGTATTCATTGCATTTACATGTTGATCCAAATGCAATTTATAGAAGAGGTCATGGACAATCCTCAAATATAGAATAGGTCATGGACGATCCTCAAAGATTTGTATTTGTTGTATTCATTGCATTTGCATGTTCATCCGAACACGATTTATAGAAGGGAGCAAACATTCTTCAAATATTTTCCCTGAGATTTGTATTCATTGCATTTGCATGTTGATCCAGATGTGATTTATAGAAGAGGTCATGGACGATCCTCTATTTATGCTCCTTCTTAGATGGAATATATATGATGAATCTGTAACCCATTGCTGTGGCGTTTGTGAAGCTTCTTGCTTAAAATAGGCACATCGTTCAGTTGTGTGCCTCTTCCCTTGTCAGCCTGGAAGAATTGCTTATATTTTTTTTTATGTGATTGGTAATGATCTTATCTTCACATCTGCCTGGTTATACTTTGTTTGTGGCTTACTATTAACATATGGTTTCGAAGTGTCTTGAAATGTCTTTATCCTCTGCTGACTAATTTTACAGAATGCATATAAAATGGTTTTAGAAGAGACAAGACTCTCATAATTAACTTTTGGGAAGGGATTAACTTATGACACGAATATTGGTTTCTTGTCAAAGAAGATACTGCGCTCTAGATATGTTCTCTTGCCAATTGACTTATCTGTGTTGAATGGTTTGTTGATTGCCATCAATGTTGGAGACTGGTGAGTCCATTTAGACTCACCCGAGTCACGTAGGCTAGGCACCTTGCTAAGCCTGGACCAAACATTTGGGGACCTGCAGAGCTTGCCTCTTCCCAATATGTTAATTTTTTTTTTTTTGGAATTGCCGGAGTCTATTAGACTTGGGCTTGGGACTGTAGCGAGTTCCGATCCGACTCCTTGTTATCCAACTCTAATTTTTACATTAGGGGTTTGGATGATAGTTAATTATATATGGAGTGCACTATCTTATCCAAAATATTATTTTGTTAGCTGTTTGATATGCATCATGCATCATCATTGTCACAGCCTTTTCCCTATTAATTGGGGTCGGCTACCATGCATCATGTACAATTTTATTTAATTATGTTAAGATTTTTGGTGATTTCCAGCTATTTCTAGCTATTTTTAGAGCTATTTCTAGCTTTTGTTGGCTAAAAACATGTGATCTCCTGCAAATTACTTTTGAGTAAAGTGAAAACAACTTTTTGTATAAATAACGTGTAAAACTGCCTATAAGTTTATCTCTAACATCTTTATCATGGACACTGCCAAACAATTGATAATTCATTATCAGGATTGAGTTTATATGAAACAGTGAATTATTAGTGATAATGAGTACACCCGAACAAGCCTTTACTGTCTTGTCAAACTCACTATTAATCTAGAGTCTGGATGCTTGTTTTTTTTTTTTCTAGATTGGGGATATCTCCTACTAATGAAATACCAACTGTTTTTCTTCAAAAAATAACTGGTCATGAAAGAAAAATTCACTTAAAGAATGTTTTTCAGATGTTTCATATAACGAGTAAATTTTTTATGGAAGATTAGATTAAGTTACGAGACAGCTTCTTTCTGTGGCCTTTGTTCAATCAGTGTGACACGTGGTTTGCATGAGATCGCCAGCTTTGAAGTTTGTTCCTCATGAAAACCAAGTCATGGTACCTGAAGAAAAAGTTAAAAAAAAAAAAAATCTTTCTGAAACTGTCCCATCACAATTTTTTGTGTTTATTTTCTCCCATGTATGATGTTTGAAAGTCCCTTTTTTAATTATTCGAATACGTATTGATAACTTGTGAATACTTGTCATTTATTTAGTAGCTATATGGTTTTGTCCAAGTGGTCTGAATCTTTTGTCTTGTCGCATGCTATTGATGATAAACTGGAAACTTGTTGCATCAATGAATTTCTCTAGTTTTTCTTTATTTGTGTATTTCCCTGAACCATGCAAGTATTGTTTTTGCTGCTGTCAGGGAAGGTGTGCATAAAGAAGGTGCTTCTTAGTAATTGTCTGCAGGAACTGATGAAATTCCACCAGGCGGTTGCTTCTTTCTTGCAAATTGTTCGTAATATGTAGCAGAATCGGTATCGTCTGACATTTGTTTTTTTTTTGCTCAGTGGAAAAAAAAATCTATTTTTGTGTGTATGGCTGGTATAATTTTTTGAGCTAAGAAGGTAGTATTAATGCCAAAGTTTGATTATATTCCTTGACATAATTTAGTAGGTAAATTTGTTCAATGGAATGATACGGTGGCTTATTTATGACGGGAAGATTTGCAAATCATAAAATAAAATAGTATTGCTCAGTGGTTTGAATAAAATAGTCGTACTAAGTGGTTATGTTATGTCTGCAATGTGGCATCTTCATGATTCACTTTCAATATGTTCCTGATTGAATGGAAAAATTGCTGACAACATATTTTCCTATTTACGTTGTGATGTGACTCACGAAAGTGAGGAAGAGGTTGCAGATACTGAACAAGCTGAGAACTGGTTTTCTTTGACCTCTGCCCAAAGAGTATGTAGTAGGTTATTTTCTGAGACACTTAGAGAGATTACTTGAAGGTCTCATTGTGATTATTATGTTCTCAGTCTATTGGTGGTAGACGTTGATTATTTTTCTTTTGTTGGTAAAGCTTAGGATTCATCATAAAGGTAAGGATACACATCTTGTGCATGGTGTATCTACATATCCAGGTTATCCACCTTCAATTATCAAGGGCAGGCAAGTGGAGATGAACATAGTTTTAATGATGCACTTCCCTTGGTCTGTGGTTCATCTCCATGGCCCACCCTCTAAGGCATTGTGCATGCCTTGCCTGTGCATGGATGTGTAGACATGCTTCCAATTTATCATAATTGTAAGGTTTTCAGGATTCTTCTATAAAACATTTCTATTATCATGACATTGCATCTGTATTGTGATAATTTTATTGGTCAAAGGGTATGTAGTAAGAAAATTAGCAAGCGAATAATATTCAAAATACTGTTGTTAAGTGGCAAAGGAACATAATGTTATTCTGTGGGAAAAGTATAGAATGAGACCATTTATCTTGATACAAGGTGGTCACAATTAATCTTGACCATTGGATGTGAAATTGGGTGGCTGCATTTATTCCATTGACCAAGTTCAAAATTTTTTTTCTCGAACTTTATGACACATCCAAGCTATCAAATATCACATTGGATGGTTGTAAGTAATTGTGACCACCTTGTTTCAAAGGTAAATGGTCTCATTGTATACAATCCCTATTCTGTGTGGACTAGAGAATAGTTAACAAAACCTTGTGGTCCTCCCCTTCGAAAAAAATCTGATGTTGGATCACCCCATTGTGTAACTTCTGTGAAATGGGAATTCACTAGCTTATGTAATCGAAGAACAAAAATGCAAGGAATATTGCAGTGGTATCACATATATAAACTAACTGAGCTGGCAAATGGAAATTTACAGTTCAGGTCTAAGACAGAGAGGAAACTGTTTCACATTTCCAATTGGAATTCTGCTTATCTGTATATGTGCTCTATATCAGTGGTTGTGATTAGGAGTGTACCTTTGGTCCTGAAACCTTGTGAATTACACCTTACAATCAGGAATTAAAATTATTATTGATATCTCCCTTTCTTTGGCTCATTATAAAAAGTTGTTAAACTAAAGCTTTGCTGGTGACTTTTGTTTCTATCTGATGTGTCTGGGAAAGCATATATCATGCTTATTATTTTGGGATATCTTTGCATAGTATTTATTTTTAATTTGAGAAGGTAATTCGCCATAGATTATCTATTTATTTTCACTTATGCTTCCTGATTATCTTGCAGATATGTTCCTTGCTCTGGATAAATTATATGAATGGGACATTGAGCACGCATGAGCTTGGAGAATATGCTGATGGCACATTGACTGAAATATTTATCAAGCGAGGTGAGACAATAACGTTTTGCTCTCGCATTTTCCTTCTCTTCACAATGTCAAAAAGTTAGTAGTTGTGCTTTTTATATTAGTCATCACTAGGTAGAGACTGCGGCCAGATACAAGTTCCTTCTTGACAAGTTATTGTCAGCTGAGTTCTCAGTTTCAATTTGTGGTGTTGTAGTACTTGGCAAGGATATGCCCTTTAGCGTTTTGTAAGGGTGTGTCTGCAATTGTGTATGTTTTATTTGGGCATCTTTTTCATTTGTATGATTTTATGGGCATTAATCTAAGGGAAAAGTTTATTTAGAGCTGAGGCTCTAAACAATCAAATTAGAGCCTACCTAAAAAATTCCACTAGAAGAGGTTGTTTTGGTGCCCAAATATCGTCAAATTGATCATCTTGACATCAAGATGCATGGATATGAGAAAAAAATGGATTTCACGTTTTGGAAATAGTGCATATTGTAACGCATTTTTGGACCGTCAATTTTCAAGTTCTCATAGATCCGCTCGATCTGCACTATTTTTGAAGCTTTAAATTTTATAATTAAAGATTAAAATATATTTTAAGGCTATCACAAAGATTTTCAGTATTGAAACCACATTTCTCGACATTATTTGAAGGTGGGCTCTAATTTGATTGTTTAGAGACTCGGTTCTATGCAAACCGCACGCTTAATCTAATCTAATGGTAGTTATTTTTGCAAATTATTCTCCTTTTTATTTTTCTGTTAGTGGGTAAGTTGTTTTTGCTGTGGTCACCAAGGTGGCAGCATTTAGATATGGTTGTGTGATGTCGTACATTTTTGCATTTATTTTCCATGTACTAGAAATTAGTATTCCTTTTGATATGGTTAGATGAACCAGATTAGATCATGGAGAGTAGACAGACCACTGAAGTTTTAAATATCTTCAACTTATTCATATTTTCCTAACAAATAAAAGCTACAGCACATGCAATAAGACACGTGGGATCTAAAAGATGTGTAGGGGTTGGCCAATTTTTTATTTGTCAACCATTAAGGGCCTGTGGGATCTAAAAGATCGCATGCATAAGACATGAGAGAGAGAGAGAGAGAGAGAGAGAGAGAGAGAGAGAGAGATCCTTTCTCTCTTGTTCTTGATTGCCTTCAGCATTTGATGAGCATGTCCGTCGTGGTAAAGGCGGAGGAGGAAATACTGGAGAGATGGACTTTGAAAGTTTTCTTGACTTTGTGTTAGCCTTGGAAAACAAGCACAACTGAAGGTTTGACGTATTTGCTCCGGTGCCTTGATCTTCATGGACGAGGATACCTTCTTACAGCTGATATTCACACCCTTTTCAGGTAAAAAAATTCTTCCACTTTAGGGAAATCCACACAGATATGAGTGCTTTAAGTGTCGTAAACCCAGGATGGGCTTAATTTAATCATGGATTCAGTTGCAGAACTGGTTTTAGGAAAATGACCAGCTTCAGCATTGCATTTTCTAGAGGGAAAAGGTGTTCTTATAATCTTGGAAATTAGATTTTGTTTCTGATCTTCTGTGTCTTTTTTCTCTCATTTTACTGAGACTGGGAGCCTGTGGCTGCTGCCCCGGAGATAGAACATGCTCTTTTGTGTGTGTATGGGTGTGTGTGTGTGTCTGAGAGAGAGAGAGAGAGAGAGAGAGAGAGATGGGTACTGAAATTGATCCTTCGTACTAGAAGTTTACTGTAATCTATTACAGTATGATGGTACATGGTACTCCAAGGGAGCATGAATCCTTCATTCCTGCTGATCAATTGTGGACATGAACTGCACCTGAGTGAATGCAATGATGGGCACTACAATGGCTAATTCCTGCTGTCATCAGTGACAGAAGGTGGATGCGCATTTGCCTTAACATATGTAGTCTATCGGTTAGTGTGTGCTCTGCCAGCATATTATGTTGGATAATGGACCTAGTTCTTGTTTTCCTGTCTGTTTTCAATTAGAATAATCACAAATTGAGTCATAATTGTTTTTTTTTTTTTGTTCTTCTATATATGCATTTCAATATGGACGAGAAGAAGGGGGCCATACTGAAGTTGAGATGTTAACTCTGATACAATCGTCCGATATCAATCTTGTAATTTTTCCTGCTTGCAGTTTTGAAATAAAGTTCTACAAGTCTCAAAATTACAGGACATTTGAATTAATTGACAAAATAATTTTTTTTACTTATATGCTTTCACCTATGAAGAACGTAACAAGCTTCTCCTTTTGTTCTAATAGATGTGCATCAGAAGTGGATAGAAGGTGGTAACTATAAACTCTGCATAGAAGATGTAAGAGATGAGATATGGGATATGGTGAGGCCAAGTGACCCTCTCAAGATAACACTCACCGACTTCTTTGCCTGCAAGCAAGGGGGCACTGTGGCTGGAATTCTCATTGACATACGGGGATTTTGGGCCCATGACAATCACAATTATCTTCTACAGGAGGAGGAAGAGGCTGAAGAGGAGTAAGGTATTCGGCAGATAGAATTGCAATCAATGCTTGATCAGGATAAGGGGTTAGGTTGTGTTGTGTATATGTGATAGTTTCTTGTGATCTCTTTGCTTTTATTTTTACTCATTTGTTGTAAAATCAAATACTGTATAACTAGAGATTGCAACATGGCATCTTCTATAGGAGGAAGGGGCTGAAGAGGAGTAAGGTATTGGGCAGATAGAATTGCAATCAATGCTTGATCAGGATAAAGGGTTAGGTTGTGTTCGTGTGTATGTGAGTTTCTTGTAATCTCTTTGCTTTTACTGTTACTCATTTCTTTGCTTTACTGGTACTCATTTGATGTAAAATCAAATACTGTATAACTAGAGATTGCAACATGGCAAGGGAAATAGGTTTCCGTTCTGTCCCTTTTAACAAAAAAACATTTTGTTCACCCAAGACCTGCAGTGTTGGCCCTTGTGTAGCAAAATGCAATACTTGGTGTGAATTGCAGAATCCCGTGAATCATCGAGTCTTTGAATGCAAGTTGCACCCGAGGCCGTAGGCTGAGGGCATGCCTGCCTAGGCATCATGCCAAACGCCGCCCCTCCTCACCCTTGCGCACCAGTGCAAGGGCTCGGGGCACAAGATGGCCACCCGTTCCCCTCCCCTCGCATTGGAGGTGCGGTAGGCCCAAACCAAGGCCCAAACCAAGGCCCATAGCTTGCGGGTGACACGATGATCGGTGACAGTTGTATGATTGCCAAGCTTTTGTCTCAGCTGTGCAACACGGAATGACAGCTTTCTTTCAGGTAACTGGATATCCCTGGTAACATGAGCAGAAAGGAATCATGTGAACATAGGAAGAACATGTGAAGCAGACAATCAACCATCATTCCATTGGTTCATGTCCTTAATTGATAAATTATACATTGATTTCTGGAGCAAAGCCAGGCTCTTCCTAATTCCTACTGCAATGATCCCTATTTCGTCACCAAGCTTTGAAGAAAAAGTACTTCTAAACCAACATCCAAGATCAAATGAGAAAACTGCATATGGGAGATTAGTTATTCAAGTAAGCTGCCATAAATCCATGTAATGTTGTACCAAATTGAAATACATCCCATTAATGTGGTGACATCCATTTAAATTAATTAAGCAACAACCTATTCAATCATCTCCACCAGCCACCTTAAACGGCAAGGGAGGTCATGCTTAACTTGGGGCAACAAATGAGAAAAACTACACATTCTCGTCTCCATATCTTGGATCCGTATTTCCAAAACCATCGACTTAAACACAACTCAGTAACAGAGATATGGATTATATTTACATTTCACTAATGGATACTTGGCCTTGCATTCTCTCTCTAAAATGTGACCATGAACCAACATGCCAATAGAATCAGTATCATGGCATAAAGAATCCCAGTATCGGGCCTGACATATGCCGTTTTCCTGGATAAGGGCTTCTGAGGAAGGATTTCATAGAAGTGCTGTAACAGTCAACTGGAATGAACTATTCATTCAAAACCTGATATCCCCATCCACAGGTCGCAGTAGAAAGGTTCTAAGGCATGTCCATGGGGGGTTGTCACTTTTTTGCAATGCCCAGGCTCGTTTCCTCCATCACTAAAGCCTTCTGCATTCAACAACAGAGTCATATGTTGCCATGGTGAATGGGCTTTCCGCAAAACCTGAATCAATATTGAATATTTGCTTAGTCCGGTGAGAAATTTAGCAACCAGGCTAAAATATTTTTCAAAATAAGGACAAATGGGAAACATGAAACAGGAACTGACTCAAAATAAAATATCAGCACACAAATATTAAGTGAAGATACAACCATCCACTCGACCTCGGATAAAACACAATACCAAACTGGCTGTAAACATAATACAGGCATGCATATATTATGAAAGCATATAACCCACACGCTCAAGCACTGCTCGCACCAAAACAGAATGCTAGCTCAACCACTGCACGAGGAAGACGGGCACGAATATCAGGTTTCTACTGCAACAAGTGATTTCTTCGGTTAGCAGAAAGCCAAGTTGTTGCAAGGGACTAGCGCTTTCTTTTACATATAGAATTAGTTGTAACTGAACACCACCAGTACAACACACAAATGTAAACATTTGAGTGTAATCAAGAATGGGAGCTTCAAATCTCCAACAACAATGACATGTTGGGGCTTAAAGCTGTCCTAATGACCTAGAAAGGAAAAACAAAAAAAAAAGGTTCACAATGCTAAGATCTTCCTGTTTTGGAAATATTGAGTACAGACTAAGTGTGATTTATTATCTTGTCCTTATATTAGCTCTCTGATAACAGAAGCTTAAAGAGATGAAAACTGCCATGAGTGGAAGTTAGGAGTGTGTGTAGACTGACCCTCCTGCATGCATCCTTTCTACTTTTCTAAGGCCCATATCTTGGAACAGTCACCACTAACCTCATAATGGCAAGTACTCTTTGCCCATCATTCTTTGAAGGTTTTCATCACTAGTAACTCTGATGAAGAACATGCCGAAAGGAAGGAACACAACTCAATTTTTGAGAACCAGACATCCATTTGTGCAATTGTTGTTTATTGAATCAAGAGAAAAGAGCATAGCAAAGGGAAGCATATGCATTCTGATAAATATGTTATATTTGGTAATGATTTTCGATGTCATTTACTATCAGACTTGATATTTGTCCAGTCATACCCGTAACATCAAAGCAACACAACCCTACGATCAACTGATATGATTGCCATTTTAAAAGTATGACGCATACTTATCAAAATAGAAGAGAACCTGTATTTGAATAGATCCACAAGTAGATTTCTGAAAATCTCTGGCTTCTTGTTTTTAGTTGAGGCTCTCGAGTGAAATACCCAAAACCTAACAGATTTAACAAAAGACACCCTTATTTTGGGAAGAATGTGTTGCTTTGACTACAAAAGAAGCAGAACCACGTCTGGAGTTTAATCTGAAAAAAATAATGGGAAAGAGCAATTCATCCTTAATCATTCTTCTTCAAGACTTGACATCCAGAGGGAAGAGACTAGATGAACAAGAACTGATGGATCTGAATCACCAAGAATGGCCTCCGTATCCAAGGTTCTACGCCCTGTTGCATTCGTTCTTTTTGGTCATTATTTCCAAGCAGTTTCTGCAAATAATTAATTACAAAACAATGCCACGATCAAGGTTAAAATGTATCAGTATGAGCTGATATATAAGATATGAAATCAGAAAGAGAATTTTTTATTAAAAAAAAAAAAAAATTTGGGATATACTTTACAAATATAATAAGTACAATGGGATCATTTGGATATAACACAGTTTTCTTTTTAAAATATGAAGCCTGATAATATATCCGCCTTTACACTGATATAGATCAGTATATATACTTGAAGAAACTAGATTAATTTAGCAACCCATTAGCACAATGCATGAGACTTGCACAAATTCAATAAGTTGATATATAAATAACATCCTATCAGAACACAAATCAAGAAGGGAAACAGAGATTAGTAGCATGACAGCTGATAATAGAACCCATAAAATAATAGTCCTTTGAAACTGATGACAATATATTAATGTATAATATGTTTACCAATGAGAAGTGGGATGGAGCAGCACACCGGTTGGGTGCTCTAAAGAACTTTACAGTGTTTGAGAAACCATAAAGACTGGAGGGCCGACCTTGGGGCCCTTAGAATCCACCAAATAAAAATTACACAGAAATTAGAAACGACTTGTATATATTAGATACCTATAGGTGCATATGCACCAGAGAAAGGTTTCTATACTTCTCTTACAGCATAGAAGATCAATTCTTCCCCTTTCTATACTTCTCCTACAGCATAGAAGATCAATATTTCCCCTACCATCCAGCTGTCCAATTTTGATCAAGAGATCCACCCACCATTTGATTTTAGATCCGACGTCTTAAAATACTTTATTTTTAGTTTTTGTTTATACAAATTGTATAAATATGAAATTTGGTACATACCATCTTCTCATTGGGGCACACCTACAAAAAAAATAATATTAAAACTAATTTTTCGATAAAATATAATGACCAAAATACCCTTTGAAAATTTCAAAGGTGTTCTAGTCATTTTATTTTATTGGAAATATTTTTTTTATATTTTTCATTAGTGCGAGTTTAATAGAGGATTGGATATCCAAAATTTGACGTCAATATAAACAAATTTTAAAAAAATGATGCGGAATGGAAGGTTCGATAAGGGGATATATATAAATTTTATGTTATAGGGAAAGCATAGAAAGCTTCCCCTATGTACCATGCCTTCATTTTTTTTTTATTTGATCTTCATCACCTGAGTTCCTCCATGGGAGCATAATCGGCGCATCAAGTCCGAATATAGAGATGGTATCATGAATAATATAATGAAATGAACAGTCTGCAACCCTGACCATTGGGCTCTCTCTCTCTCTCGGCCAAAATTTAGTGAATATATGAGTATATTCATGGTCAAGCCCAATTGTTGGGGTTACAGACTGTTCATTTCATAGAGCCAAAACCAAAGCAGAAAAAACGCATTTTACTTTCACATTTTTTTGTTGTTGTTACCTAGCTGCTATTGAATGAATTTTTGCAGAAATCAATTTCTTTGGCTAATAATAATAAGAAGTTACCCTCAAAAGACAAAATATTAGTAGTCCAGCAAGACTAGGACAAGTTCTTACAATCTTTCAAGTGATCACCTATAGTGCATACAAGTTACCGTTTTGATTAGTTCGTTCATTTGCAATACAAATATGTATAATAATGAATGCAAACTCAATAACCAGAATAACAATTATAGTTCATGGCATGCCATAAAACCCAACACCAACAAGTGAATTCATCAAACCACAACAATTGAACCCTCCAATCTTACCATTGTTCCCTACTGGTGATGACCATGGTGGTGCTCTTTTACCCATTTTAGGGGCAAAAGAAATTCACCTGCACATGGTGACTGTGTGGGTGTGAATTAATTTATTGGTCATATGAGAAGTAGTTATGCATTGCAAAAATCCACTCTACCCTGTTGTCCCCCCCAAAAAAGTAAGGCCCATGTTTATTTGGGATTCTGTGTCTGTTTGTCTTTCTGGAAAATCTTATTGGAAGCACTATCCAAAAGTCGAAGGACACAAGTGAGAGCCTTGATGTTATTCTTAAAATTGATGTACAAAATATTGATAAATTAAAATATATAAACTTAGTCATCCTTACACTGGTCAACCTTGTGCAAATGATATTCTTCGCTCACATGTATAGCTATGATTTAGAATAGAAAGATGGATCAATACAGGATTTCCATTTTAGGCAAACACACCATCCAAAATGAGGGTCTATGTGAGCATGGCTTGCAAAGATGAACATAGAGGTGGACAATGGTGGTTAGATGATTTGTGGCCCTGAAAACAGTTGTTTGTGGAGCACAATTATATGCGGTTTCTTCAGTCCTGATGACTATGAGGTTTGGCCTAGTCATGATGACTAAGCTGGAGGACATTCTAGTTATGACTTTTTGCGAATCACAATATATTTTTTGTGTGTACGCATTTGGGCGATTTTTGTCACGTTTGTGGAACAGTAAAGTAACAGCCAACTTTGATATATTGTCCTTGTTATGCATATTAGCATGACACCAGGAATGAAAGGAAATCTAGGTTTTTGAGGCAACCCTTGGTGTAGTAAGCTATGCAGGAACTTATAACATCTAGAATTCAATTTCCTGTGTAGCATCAGGATATTGTAAACTCTAATAAGGGTACTGAACAAACTACTGTAATATTTTCAAAATACTTAAATTCTCACTTGGCAGTATGATAGTGTCCAATAGCTTTCATTTTCCAGTCTGTCCAATAGCTTTCATTTTCCAGTCTTACATGAAGGAAATTTGAATAGAACGCTCTCTATTGAAAATTTAATCAAATTGAAGGAGTTTTGATGTGGTATTTTTTTGCGTATTGTATGTCTGTGCTGCTTTTTAATGGACACCAAATAGTTGAGATAAGGCTCTGATGATGATAGTGATGACGTCTCTGCTGCAATTCGGTCTTGTGATTTAACCAAGTGTCAGCGATACATGTGCTGGCTGTGTAGGAATATGCCATGCATCATTTTGGTTATAGTTTCTTTACATTTTTTTAACCTTAACAAAATCATTACTATAATAGAAGTATAGAGGGTTAGAAATAACAAAACAAAGATCAAGAGATGTCAAGTCAATATTTCATAATTCCAACATTCAAATTGAGTTTACATAGACTGATTCTGGAAGAACACCTTCATTAGCAAAGGTATCAGTCTTTTGGTTAGCTTCCCCAAGGATGTGCACAAACATCACATTCTTGGTCACACAAAGGTAAAAAATCTCACCAAATATTATAGCCAACCTCCACGAAATAGAGGATTCTTTACAGGCCCACTTATGACATTAAGTCCCCTTTTTCTACTAGTTGACTCCTTAAATGGATTCTCTGCGCTTATGTCTGGTTATATACTTCAAATGGCTAGTAATACACTTATATGTGATGCCTTGATATTATCATGGTGCTGCTACTGATTCTATACTAGAAATAATGAGGGTGACATGGGTTTATCATAGGGAGCAAGTCTTGCCATCCACCTTTCAGAAGTCACACCCAAAACATCAATCAATTGCCCCTCTAAATTGTTGTTCTAGGTCACTAACCATACCATGTAAACATCAAATTCTTTATTTTTTTGATGGTTCCATGTAAATGTAAAATATCAATGACATTAATTGATTTTTGGTTGTGGTTTACCAAATAGATGTGTGGTGAGGGACCTTTCACCATAATTATAATTCTATATCATATATTTAGGTATTTAGAATTTATCTAAGTTCTGTCTCAACGGCTTATTTCTGTTGCTTATCATTACATGACAAAATCTTCTGAATGTGGCCCATAACTCAATAGAATGTCCACAATACCATCAATTTATGGATTTCACAATGTGCCATGATAGAAGATGGGTAGATGAAATATGTCTAGAAACTGTTTCTAAATTAGGGGATGATTTTCACATATGAGACATTTCCATGACCTAGGAAAAGTCGTGAGCCAAGATGAGACTGAAAAAATGGATGGAAATTGTTCTTCGAGTCAAGGTACAATAAATGCTTGCGAACTTGGAAGAGAAAAAACATGGGTGAAATTGGTAATAAAGCATAGGATATTTAGGACAACTTGGGCAAAAAATAAGGAAATTAATGAATAGCATTTTTAAGAAAGTTGATTTCAGCATTACTTTTTCAAGAAAAAAGAAAAAAAAAGAAAGAAAGCTTTTTTCAGCATTTACATTAAAAAACAAAGTTTACACAGAATGTGGGAGATGCATTTTCTGATAGACTTAGATATATAGTTACGCATGGCACAAATGATGTCTAGAGTTCCATTCATACTAGGTCCCAACTAACACTCTAGAAAGAAAAAGAAAAATGCCCTGTTTTACAGTCTGAAACAAATTGACTGGACGAGTTGCTATCTTACATTGAAATTCTCCTGTTAACAATAGATATTTATTCAGCTTTCATTGGTTATTCTTATTTATGCATTTTAGATAGTGCATTTACAATCTTTTCTATGATTCTAAGTATGCATTTTCATTTTCTTCATGTCTTACTTGACTCAAACGCTTTCATTGACAGCCATACACATACATGCTCAAACTATGCTTATCTGGTAGTTGGTGCATGTATCTGTTCGAGGTGTTATCAGAAAAGCATAAGGGTCGTCGCACCACAAACACGACTGTGTAAAGTTTCAGATAGTGAACCACTAATATAAATAAGTGTTGCATAAAAGGGCTTCAGTGCCTCATCTCGGTGGTCTAGGTGGGTTATTGCTGTTGAATAGACAAGTTAGCTATACCAGTAGGCACCATCTAATGCGGGTTGGGGAATCCCACTGCCCAGTCCTCAGGAAGTGCAGAAGTTCCCCATTGATAACATTATAAGAATCTAAATCTATGGGGAATATGTGTTAGACTTATGGTGTATGGCATTGCATACATGGACTGTCGAGTTGTCGTGGAGAAAATGAGCCATTGTTCCATGTTAAAATCTCTTAGAGGACTAATATTCATGAATGTGAAAAAAAAGTCTTGGGTGGTAGATAGAAGTGAACAAAATGTCTTGGGTGCACGAAAAGCTATTACATTGTGGTGTCTTAGGATCAATACTCATCATAATTTGCAAACCTGGCCTAGTCGACCTGTGCTTGTCCTGTATGACAGGACTGGTCTCACACCAAGTAAAATCAGGCTTTGAACCTATTTTACTTGTTTCGGGCCATAGACTCAACCAACCAGGCCGAGTCAATTCATGACTGTAGCAACCCAGCTAGGTTGAATGAGTTAATGTGTGCCAGCATGCACGCATGCATGTGTGAAGAATTTGAGTTGCATGACCAATGAAACAGGCCGGATGGGCCATATTCAATCTTAATTGATTTGATGCTCAGTGGGTATGGGCATTGTTTGATTTTTAGGATTTTTTTTTTTTGTTTGTTTTTTTAAATCTGATTGGCCTGAAATTTTGGGATGTGCATTTGGCTTAAGCGCACCAAAACAATTAAAATGAAAAAGGCTAAAAAATGACCAAAATGCCCTTGCACATGTTGTGGATATTTTTCAATGGATGCTTCAATTTGGGCCATCATGCCTGCAACTGTTTGTAAGCTAGGTGGCTTTCAAATTCTTCATTTGCAGGTGTTCGCGTGTGTATATGTGTGTGTGGAAAATTATCAT